ATAATATCCATCCATCCATCCATCCATCCATCCATCCATCCATCCATCCATCCTTATGCCAAGACCTTATTTAGATACAGTTGCATCAGCCTTCCCCAAATTGGGGTTGGGATTGCAACTTTCAGAATTCTTTGCATGCGTAGTCCAAACTTGTAGGTTACCATATTGAATTATGCATCTAACAGAATAACTCATCTTGGCCTGAAATTATTTTAGCAGCCTACCTCTGGTTAACAAGCAGGACTGTACTTAGAAGCTATTTTTCTTCAAGTGCTAAAGATTTGATCTCTAGGCAGACAAAGACAAGATTTAAATACAGTAATTGTAGAACTTCCTGTCCCTTATGAGTTGACCAAGGCTTTGTTGCATTAGTACTTGGAAAGACAAAAGATGAGAATTGCTAATGACAACTTTGACTGACAGCTTCTGCTGAAGCTAACTAGATTGTTAAAATCAGTTCTGACTAAAGAACATGTAGTGATTTTAAGAGTTAAACAGGTCTCGCAAAAACTTATCACCAGACCTATTTTTATTTTGTAGACAGGGACAATTGAAGAAAAGATCTTCCAGCGGCAGACGCACAAGAAGGCGCTTAGTAGCTGTGTAGTAGATGAAGAACAGGATGTGGAAAGACATTTCTCTCTGGGGGAGCTGAAAGAACTATTCACACTCAATGAGACCACCACAAGTGATACCCATGACAAGTAGGTCTCAGAAGGGTTTAGACAGCTTAATTGTCTAGGCAGAGATTTGGGGACATAGATGGAAGTGTTGGTACTGTTCTTGAAAAAAAACCAAAAACAAAAAGCAGAATAAGGTAAGCTGTATGCAGATGTTGAATCTGAACATTAGTGATAGAGCAGGTTTTTGACAGCCTGGAAATCAGTGTTGCAATTAGCATTTATATAGAGGCCCACATTTGTAGAACCCAATATTTGAAATTTGTTATCTTGAGTTTTGTAATGTACATCTCAGATGGACTAGGCCTGGGAAATATTAAGTCCACATGAATGTCAAGAGGAAATGGGTTGGGACAATACTGGTGTATCAATCAGCTGTACCAATTGAAAGAATAGATAATTTTAGTATACTCTGAACTATCTTAAAACAGTGTTTTATAAGTCTACTAGTTTACGTAATTGATTATAATTATAAATTAGTTAATTTGATTCACTAATTAAATTTCACTAATTGTGATTTTTTTTTGTTGGTGTCATAGATGCATTTCTTTCCAATGTTGGCTTCTAAAATAGAGGATTATTCTATATTCAGATCACCTAGAGTCATTGCTATGAGATGGGCAGCCATATAAATCAAATAAATTATCCTAGTTTATATTATTCCTAGCATGGGAAATCTGCCAAACACCAAGCCCTGTAGCTCAGACACCATAGCATGAAGTCCAGGCTTCTAACTCTTGTGACTACAAATGCACTTTTTATTACAGGATCAAATGTCGTCGCTGTGTGAATGGCCATCAAGTCAGGCCTCCTCCAGAGGGATCTGACTGCACTTCTGATTTATCTCAGTGGCATCACTGTGCTGAAAAACGTGGCCTCAAGGACACTGTCCTCAAGACTGCCTGGGATGGTGCAGTCACTTTCACCTTCTATCATCAATCTCATGAGGAGCAACGAGGGATACCATAACCATTGGATCAAATTTCTGGAATTTAAGTCATTCTTAAAAAAAAGCAAGTATTTGATACGTCTACATCAGCAACATTAGGATTAGATGTTTTCTTCATCTCATCTGTATTTATAGGCTATCTTTACAAATACTTTGCTGAAATATTTGGTTACAAGCAACCAAATACTGGTTTTATAAACTTTTTCTGAAAATGTATGTTTGGGCTTTTACTGTCAATCTGCTAAATGTGTATAGAATATTCTGGTAGCACCTATACTAAAGTTGGAAGTAATCTTTCAGCTCTAGAATGCCACATAGTCTACATAGGTATCATGAAGTCAGATGGCTGAATTATTATATTTAACCACAAACCATTCTTGTTAATAAATGTCACTTTCAGATAATAAGTTGAAAGATGAATCACTATCACATAGAATTCTGACAGTCTTTTTAAAATGTATTTGTTGGAGTGGATTAATATTGCATCATCTGGTTTTAAATCTGTTACAGGAGAAATTTTTAGATCAGAATCATCTTCAATTATAAAATTAAAAATTGTGATGTGTTTTTACAACAAATTAATAAGTAAAATAAAGAGAAAGATGGAGTACTGTCCCAGCTGGGTATATACCACAAGGAGCAATAACTGTATTTCATATGTCAGTATTTATGTGAGATGAAAGCAACAAAAGGTGTATGTGTGTGTATAAAATGGTTTTTGCTCTAACATAATAGTAGCTTATGCTAGACTAAGAAGGTCTTCATTTTACAAAGGCAGGAAAACATTGGCTTTATTTAACTATTTTCATACATTGATGAAGAATGATAAATGTTTGTGAAACCTTGTTTGTATAGGAAGACTAATGGCCAAGAAAAGAATCCCAAAGGATTGGGTTTATTTCTGATGTTAGAATGGGCCCTCTGAATTACTTATGTTGAAAAATTAAAAATCTTTATGAGGAGATGCATGAAATGCTATTTTCTAGGATACTGATTAAAAAAGGATATTCAGGTTTCTCAACCCAAATTGTTTTTACAATAATATGCAGTTAATTCAAATCATAAGATTATGATTATAATACTTTTTATTTCAACGAGGCCTGCATAAGTAGAAAACATACTTCAGAAAGCAGTATTATAATGTAGACTCTTGTTAAAATACAGAAGGCATTTAAATTCAATAAACTGTGTGTGCTACATTTGTGAGAATAGTTTAAGCTGATCTAGTTATTTTCATCTTTAGAGCACAAGGGAGGTTTCAGTTTTAAGTGAATACATTTTCCACTGTTGAGTTGTTAAATCTTGATTCCACATAATAGCTAACATCATATTTTACTGACTGTATAACAGTTATTTTGGAAATGGGACACTTCTGCTAACATTTACTGTACCCTTCATGCTAAACACAGAGATCAGAGAAATCTGGATACAAATACAACAATACTGGGAGTACTGTTTAGAAGTGGTGCTTAAATAGTGCCCAAATTGCAGTAAATGTGGTAAGCAGGTTTATTAGAAGATACTCGTCCATAAAGTGCTTGTTACATCACACTGATGTAGTCAGCAAAGGCCTGTGATGAGTCCCATGCATCACTAACTACACTGCACATAGCTTTTAGTCTTGAAAGGGCTTCTTGAGCAGTTACAGCATCTTGGTCCAGCCAATTCTGATAGAGGCACAGTTTGGTAGACTTGAAACGTTCTCTGCATTCAGCTGTGTAACTTTCTAGCTTTTTGGCAAATTCCAGAAGCCCATCAGGCTTAATACAGTTGGAGCTAGAATTGAAATAAATAATATTACATAATTGCAGTTTATGACAGTACATGAGGTATTTCATCATAGTAGTTATATAGTGTTAGTGTCTAACAATATACGTTTTTTTTTCTGAATAAAAAATATTACCTTCTATATGTTGGTTACGTTCTATAGTTATACAACAAAACAGGATTTGAATTTGCTGACATCAGCACAACATGTTCATGACTTTTTGTTCACTGTCTAAGGCTTGATGTCAAAACCTATATTCCCTGTAAGGTGCGTGTGTGTGCATACCCACACTGTTCATGAAACCCGTGCACATGGTAAAAAACTGCATGCATACAAAATTAAGTTTAAATCATAAATTTAGTCAACATAAAACTCTAGGCTTGCAACTCAAGAGAACTCCTGCACAAGCTCACTGCCTTGGCTTAGCTGCAGCAGCAAGAGTTGCTTGGCGCTGCTGCGGCATGGACTGAGCAGAACTGACAGGAGCTCCCGCTCAGTCTGTACTGTGGTGATGCTAAGCAACCCTTGCTGCTGCGGCCGAGGCAGCAAGATTGTGCCTTTTGCTTGGAGCAACAGGAAGACAGTCCTTTCCCAGCCTTGCAGTTCTAGTCGATCTGCTCCTGAACCTCCTCCACATGGAGGAGCACCTCCCTCCAAAAAAGATTCAATTCATTTCCTTCCTTCCTCCAAGAAAGGTTTAATTAATATCTATTGAGTTTTGGGCCACACAAGATTCATGATCACTATTAACTTTATAAGAAATTCAATTTTTAAATTAATATTAAAGTTTAAGTTCAGAATAGATAATTTGATAATTTCTAAAAGAAATGAAAAAAATGCTTCCAAAATGTTGATTGCAATTATCAGAAGTGACTAGTGAGTTTACATTATAATCTGTAAGCATGTATGCGTAGAGCCAGTTTGGTGGTGCGATTAAAGCACTAGGCTAGAAACCAGGAGACTATGAATTCTAGTCTCGCCTTAAGCACAAAGGCAACTGGGTGATCTTGGGGCAGTCACTTCTCTCAACCCTAGGAAGAAAGAACTGGCAAGGCACTTCTGAGAAATGCTGCCAAGAAATGGCAGCAGGGGACAGTTGCTAGGAGTCAAAAATGACTTGAAGTCACAATTTTTAAGCATGTATGTGATGTATTATATACTTTCTGGATTCTATACTTTAACTGTGAAATACATAAACATTTTAACGTTTTTACATGCATTTGCAATTGACTGGTATACTCATATTGTGGAGCACAAAACATTTTTTTCCACATGACATGTCAGAAATTAGAACTGTTAACTTGTCCTTACAGGTTTGTTTGTATAGATTGTTGGAAAGAACAACAGGATAAAAATACATTATTTGGATGGCAAATAACTCCAGAGGATCCTTCAGGTCCTGATGTAGAGACTTAAATTATCAGAATTCCTCAGTCAGCATAGCCACTGCTGGGAATTGGGAGTCCACATATCTGGAGGACATCCAGGTTAAAGAGTGCTGTTTTAGTTACAAGCCACTTGATATGGCTGATAGCCTAAGGAAGAAAACTGGCAGGAAAAAACAGTGTTTTTTTTTTTAAACTATTAAAGTAAAATTGGATGAGATGTATATACCAACAAATCATTCCTTTGTGGGGAAGGGTGGCTCAGATGATCTTACATTTTGCTCAACTGTTCTCCATATAAGTAGAGCATTAACTATAACCATCCTATTAAAGGATTCTTTATCAGATTTATATATTGCCAATTACCATCTCTTCTGACAAAGATGGGTCAGTTCTGTAGTAAACCTCAACAATACTTAAGGTAGCTTTCACTGATCTGTCTTCTAGATTAATTAGACTTAATTCTGAACTTTCTGGAAGTGGTAGACCAACACACTGGGAGGGAAACAAATCAGGGAATATTTATCTTCACAGATTCAAATGACTGTATGATTTCTTTTTCTTGCAAACTGACACTAGCCTTGGAATGCAAAAAGGTACTGAAAAGTACTAACTGTTGAATGAAAAAAGGTATTAAATGAAAAAAGCATTGTTTCTCAGACTGATTTCATTGTTATCTTTTTTTGAAATAGGACTCCATGAGGATACTTTTCTGTTTACATACATACCTTACATCCAGATGATTGATAGAAGAGGATGAATCTTCAGCAAAAATGTCAGCCAGTGCAATCAATCTGTTATTCCCTAATAATAGGGGGAAATGCAATTTAAAAACAAAGCATGAGGGGGATATGACAGAACAAAGTCAAAATAATAGGAATGTGCCAAGTATCTTTTCATGGAAAAAGTTAACCTTGAAACAAGTGTCTTCTGGGATGTTTCTAGGTTAGAATGTTCTGTGATGAAATGTTTTGTTCGTTCCATACTATATAAGCACAGATCCAGCAATGAAAATTTAGTAAACATTCCCCAATGGAGAAGAAAATGAAAAATGGTAGAAACTGACCGCCTGAAAAGAATTCTCTTTGGCATCTACTTTCCATTTATAAGTTTTTCTTTTTCCCCCAAAGGTACAGAGTAAATTAACATAAATTTCCAAGAACAAATCTCACTAAGAAGTCATTAAAAAAAAAAACTTAAGTAATTGGCTGAATTTCTAGAAAACAGTTGTTCCTACACTGTGCTATAGGAATTAAATAGCTTCAACAATTGTACTAAAAAAGAAAATAAGCAGGTCCAGTTTTATTTTCTACTGTAACATTAATCATGGGGCCATTCATTTAGCATCAACCAGGAAGATTATTTATAAATTGCACTTTGCAACCGAACTTTTCCTCTAAGACAAAAAGGAAATACATCAACTTTATTTCAGTTTAGGCATATGTTGAAAACATTTATTTTTACCTTAGCATTTGATATTTCATGATGGAACTGCTCTAGTACTTTTCACTGGTATATATAGTTTTTCATATATCAATTGTATTGATTTATTATTGCATTTTAAATTGTACATAATTTTAATGCAATGCATTTCCTAAAGATCCATGGCATGATAGGTGGTTTAGCAATATTTTAAATTAATAAACTGTGCCATAGAATTCCTTTTAAATTTCTATCAGCCAGGAGGTTTAAAAATGGGCCTGATTCATCACAGCGCCTGGGCTCCAGAAGCAATACATTCCCGAATGAGATACATTTTAAAAAAATAATACTACAGGGAGATTCCTCCCAGTGAGAATGAAGTACACTTTTTCTGAATCATGCTCCAGAATTGAGGAATCAGAACAGTTCAACTTCACAATAATTATGGGTGGGCTAGGCTATTTCTGAAGCGTTAAAATGGATTAGGTGGTCTTTATACAATCCTCATTGATATCTAACAGTCCTTATTTACTTCTTCCCCATTCCATTTTCTCCTTTTTTGTGTATCACACCTTTTAGGCTGCAAAACCATCATGAAGAGCTGCTTATTCTATCTTTTGAATAGTACTTAGTTGTATTTCACAATTCAGCATTTAATATCCAGCCAGAAGCCCTCTGAAATGCTTTCCCCATATTTAAAACAAAACTAAAACAAGAATCCCAAACCTCCAGCAAGCAGACACCCACCATATCAAAGATAAAACTACTACCCTAGATAGCTATTTGCTTATTGCTTTTATATGATTACCTGAGAATTTTGTTTCCTTTTTAAGGCAGATAATAATTGACAGTCCTTACTTCATTTTGCTACAAGCACAAAAGTTGTAATTCCAGACATGAGCATCCCTTTCTAAATTTAATCGTTCTAATTTTGTTATGGGCCATTCTGAAATTGGCAATAAATTTGACAAAGGTAGAATCTATGAACACTGAAAAATTTAGCCAGTAGTAGGAAATACAGAATAGGCTGGATTCTTGAAAAGGCAAGCAAGAAGGAGACTGACAGATACATACAATCTTCACTAGGTTCTCACCTGCATGACCACAGGCAGGAATTTATTTTGTCAACAGTCAAAACTAAATCTGAGCCAAGGGTGCCAATAGCCTGGGCTCACTCCCCACAAAGGGAAGAAAGCACTCCAAGAGAATTGCTACATTTCCCACTACATACCCAGCCTATTTCCAGGGAGTTTGAGAGTTGTTAGCGATGAGTTCTTCTTCATGGTAGTAATCATTTCAGTCAAAAGCTCAGTTGTACAGTTTTCAAACAGCCGACAAAATGAAAAATTGATCTCTGTGGGAAAACCAAAACCTAAAATTAATGTAGGTGTTTCTTCATTCTTTGGTTCAGTAAGTGAAGTCAGTTTAATTGAATGTAAAATGGGCAAAAGTTGGAAAGGGCAATAATAGATAATGGCTGTCCAACAAAAATAACCCTTAGACCATTGACTCAACTTTATAGGCCAGTAGCACATGACACA